AGATACAGCGATAGCAGGCGGCTTGACGTCTGCGAGGCACTACACATCAAGAAGTCAACACCAGCAATCAACAGCCAATTAATGCACAACTATATTCTACCCACCTCAAGACTCCGCTCCAATATAGAAGCATCAAGAAATGTGGACCAATAGACTTTCTACAATCACTTCCATTCAATACCCATTGTTTCGTGTTCTGTCTTGTGTTGATGAATTTAATACCCTATTAATACCACCTCACCCCATCGACCTCACTCAAATGTAGATATAAACAAATCGAAGATGTGTAAGTTCTATTCAGTTGTGTAAGTTCTATTCAGTTGTGTATGTCTAAACTAAAGTCTTTGAAAATGTAACAAGTTTTACGAAACGCGCTCAAGTGTCGCGTCAGACTAGAAATAAAAATGAATTTTGGAGAATTGATTTTTGAATTACCACCAACAGTGAAAAGAAACGTACGAAAGATCGAGAAAATTCGTGTTAGAATTATTAATCTTACTTTTTCGGTCATATTTAATAATATATGTCTATAGGAAAGACTGCTACCAAAATATACTAGTGTATATATATATATATATATATATATATATATATATATATATATATATATATATATATATATATATATATATATATATAAATATGAGGTCTACTGTATATGCCTTACCTGTGACAGGAAAAAACATGCATTTTTGAAAAACAGCGCCATCTGTTGTACATATTAGCAACATACACGCTATACTAAATATGTCGAATTCCATGTCAATGTTTCCGATTGCATTGATAAATTTTATTTTCATAGATTTCGATTTATTTTATTTTTTATTTAATTTTTTGTGTGACATTGTGTTGGCATTGAGCTGTGTTGTTTACCATGCCGTTCATTTCGTAAGTATAAGTATAGATGCCACACCTGTGACAGATAAAACTATGGTTTTCTTGAAAAACAGCGCCATCCGTTGCATGTAAGAGCAACACACGTGTTACACTAAATATGTTACAATGCCATTTCAATGTTTCTGATTGCATTGATATATTGAATTTTCATAGATTTTGATTTATTTTCATTTTGATTTAATTGATAATTTGTGTGAATTGCATTGGAATTCAGCTGTATTGTTTACCATACCATTCATTTTGTGAGTAGTTTATTTTATTTTTTCATATTTTCATTTAATTTTTTGACTGTTTCTTTATATTTCAGTGATGGGAACATCAGATAACTTGATGGTCCCAATTTTCTGATGGGAACATCAGACCATTTGGGAAGGCATCGGACGAGGGAGTGGGGAATGGTGGGGAGGACGAGGGGACGGAAGTGAGAGACGGTGAGGAGGACGAGGTGACGGAAGTGAGAGACGGTGAGGCCGCTCTGGTGGCAGAGTCAGAATCTCATGAGACCAGAGTTAGGTAGGATCTCGTCGACCACACATATACCTTGTTGCCTTTACTCAATATCCTGCTGAAGTGAACTACTGTGTAGTCTCTACCACCAAGCAAGCACCATACATCTAAAGGTAACGAATATTTGTGTGAATTTTGTATTTGTGCGAGGTGTGTGTTTTACGTATTTGTGCTAGTTGTGTATTTGATTATATTGGTGCAAGTTGAGTACTAATTATGAAAAATGTCATAAATGTGCAAGTTGTGTATTAATTGGACATGTTGTGTTAAGTGTATATGGATGAATTGTGTATTTACACCTGTTGTATATTGATTGTCATTGTGCAATAAACAAATCCACAAGGGCCGTGACGAGGATTCGAACCTGCTTCCAAGAGCATCCCAGACGCTGCCTTTATCGACTGAGCTACGATATGGTCAAGAGTTGAAACCGAAGTTCTACTGAACTTACTGGATCCTGCAGCCTCTCCGAGACACAAACCAGGGTTTTACACAACTCCCCCCTGCACTCGAGCTATGTCAATAGGCCGTTCTCCCTCTTCGCCCTTACTTTATTACACACACAAATCACAATAACGTGATGCATCAAATGAACAAATCCACAATATCCAGTAAGTTCAGTAGAACTTTGGTTTTAACTCTTTTAACCATGTCGTAGCTCAGTCGATAAAGGCAGCGTCTGGGATGCTCTTGGACGCAGGTTCGAATCCTCGTCACGGCCCTTGTGGATTTGTTCATTTGATGCATCACGCTATTGTGATTTGTGTGTGTAATAGGGGCAGTGTTTACACTGGGAGTGAACAAGAGCCTGGGCAGTGTTGCCGCCTCTCCAGTAGTCTCAGCCGCCAGATAATGGCAGACACATTTACGTCAAGTCAATGAACTTTAAAATTGGGGGCTAGCGTGTACTGGGAGCGGTCCCAGAGGTTAATGTGCTGTTATATGTGGTGGTTCCGTGTGGTGGTGGTGATGCTGGTGGCAGTGCTGGCAGTGATGGTGGTGGTGCTGGGGGTGGTGGTGGTGCTGGTGGCGATGGTAGTGGTGGTGATGCTGGTGGCGGTGCTGGTGGTGTTGGTGATGCTGGTGGCGGTGGTGATGCTGGTGGCGGTGCTGGTGGTGGTGGTGATGCTGGTGGCGATGCTGGTGGTGGTGGTGATGCTGGTGGCGGTGCTGGTGGTGGTGGTGATGCTGGTGGCGATGCTGGTGGTGGTGGTGATGCTGGTGGCGGTGCTGGTGGTGGTGGTGATGCTGGTGGCGATGCTGGTGGTGGTGGTGATGCTGGTGGCGGTGCTGGTGGTGGTGGTGATGCTGGTGGCGATGCTGGTGGTGGTGGTGATGCTGGTGGCGGTGCTGGTGGTGATGCTGGTGGCGATGCTGGTGGTGGTGGCGATGCTGGTGGCGATGCTGGTGGCGGTGCTGGTGGTGGTGGTGATGCTGGTGGCGATGCTGGTGGTGGTGGTGATGCTGGTGGCGATGCTGGTGGCGGTGCTGGAAGTGATGGTGGTGGTGATGCTGGTGGCGGTGCTGGCAGTGATGGCGGCGGTGGTGGTGATGGCGGTGTTGGTGGCGCTGGTCATGGCGGTGGTGACGGTGGCTGTGCTGCTGGTGGTGATGGTGGTGACGGTGGTGGTGGTGACGGTAGCCGTGCTGCTGGTGGTGGTGGTGGTGACGGCGGCGGTGGTGACAGTGTACCCGTGACCTTGTGTGGTGGCGCTGGTCTGGGTAACCCACCGCCGGCGACGACGCTCCACCTGCAGGCGGGAAGGTAACTCTGCCGCGCTTCCTCTGCTGTTCCTTGCTCTGTTTTTTAGACTTAGCTTCTCAGGACGACGTGTCCATGTAGCACGGGGTATGGTGAGCCCGTAACTCCTCTGCTGCCATCACCTTTGTTTGTAGTTCTCGCTAGCGCTCTCCTCTCCTCCTGCTGCTGCCACGGACCTCCTCACCTCCTGCTGCTGCCACGGACCTCCTCACCTCCTGCTGCTGCCACGGACCTCCTCACCTCCTGCTGCTGCCACGGACCTCCTCACCTCCTGTTGCTGCCACGGACCTTCTCACCTCCTGTTGCTGCCATGGACCTCCTCACCTCCTGCTGCTGCCACGGAGCTCCACACCTGCTACAGCTGCCACGGAGCTCCACACCTGCTACAGCTGCATGGACCTCCACAGCTGCAGGTGCCGGAGTATTACGCTCGTCTGACTGGCTGCATGATAACAGGCCAGCAGGTAATGGTGGGGAAGTGTTGTAATATATGGCTGGAGGTAAACACAGCAATCCATGTCAGTATCAGCAAGGATGCCGTGTGGGTGTATGAGTCCAAGGTCATCCTCAGGCTCGTAGCGTCTCTGTGAGTCCCTTCAAGGAGTTCCTCCACTGAACGTCCTGGGCCACTCTGAACGTAACTCCCTTCAAGGAGTTCCTCCACTGAACGTCCTGGGCCACTCTGAACGTAACTCCCTTCAAGGAGTTCCAACACTGAACGTCCTGGACCACTCTGAACGTAACTCCCTTTAAGGAGTTCCAACACTGAACGTCCTGGACCACTCTGAACGTAACTATCTTCAAGGAGTTCCTCCACTGAACGTCCTGGACCACTCTGAACGTAACTATCTTCAAGGAGTTCCTCCACTGAACGTCCTGGACCACTCTGAACGTAACTATCTTCAAGGAGTTCCTCCACTAAACGTCCTGGACCACTCTGAACGTAACTATCTTCAAGGAGTTCCTCCACTGAACGTCCTGGACCACTCTGAACGTAACTATTCTCAAGGAGTTCCTCCACTGAACGTCCTGGACCACTCTGAACGTAACTATCTTCAAGGAGTTCCTCCACTGAACGTCCTGGACCACTCTGAACGTAACTATCTTCAAGGAGTTCCTCCACTGAACGTCCTGGACCACTCTGAACGTAACTCCCTTCAAGGAGTTCCTCCACTGAACGTCCTGGACCACTCTGAACGTAACTATTCTCAAGGAGTTCCAACACTGAACGTCCTGGACCACTCTGAACGTAACTATTCTCAAGGAGTTCCAACACTGAACGTCCTGGACCACTCTGAACGTAACTCCCTTCAAGGAGTTCCAACACTGAACGTCCTGGGCCACTCTGAACGTAACTCCCTTCAAGGAGTTCCTCCACTGAACGTCCTGGGCCACTCTGAACGTAACTCCCTTCAAGGAGTTCCAACACTGAACGTCCTGGACCACTCTGAACGTAACTCCCTTCAAGGAGTTCCTCCACTGAACGTCCTGGGCCACTCTGAACGTAACTCCCTTCAAGGAGTTCCTCCACTGAACGTCCTGGGCCACTCTGAACGTAACTCCCTTCAAGGAGTTCCTCCACTGAACGTCCTGGACCACTCTCAATTATATGTAATGGGTTTCCCATAGTTGGGGACAGGAAGCCTTTTTAAGTTTACTAAGGGGCACCTCAAGGACGAACTGCTGACCTTCCAGGAGGATGCCACCCACAACAGTTGAGTATCTCCCGGGTGCTTATTTACTGCTTGGTGAAGGTCCCCGGGTTCGACTCCCACGGTAGCATCCAGATCTTCAAGTGGAGTACACAGTCGCTCCAGGCGTGAGTGTTTCTGACATGTTCGCTTCAGGCGAGTTTAAACCTGTTACTGACGCGGCTGTTACTGACGTGGCTGTCACTGACGTGGCTGTTACTGACGTGGCTGTTACTGACGTGGCTGTTACTGACGTGGCTGTAACTGACGTGGCTGTTACTGACGTGGCTGTTACTGACGTGGTTGTTACTGACGTGGCTGTTACTGACGCGGCTGTTACTGACGTGGTTGTTACTGACGTGGTTGTTACTGACGTGGCTGTTACTGACGCGGCTGCTACTGACGTGGCTGTTACTGACGTGGCTGTTACTGACGCGGCTGTTACTGACGCGGCTGTTACTGACGCGGCTGTTACTGACGTGGCTGTTACTGACGTGGCTGTTACTGACGCGGCTGTTACTGACGCGGCTGTTACTGACGCGGCTGTTACTGACGCGGCTGTTACTGACGCGGCTGTTACTGACGTGGCTGTTACTGACGTGGCTGTTACTGACGTGGCTGTTACTGACGCGGCTGTTACTGACGCGGCTGTTACTGACGCGGCTGTTACTGACGTGGCTGTTACTGACGTGGCTGTTACTGACGTGGCTGTTACTGACGCGGCTGTTACTGACGCGGCTGTTACTGACGTGGCTGTTACTGACGTGGCTGTTACTGACGTGGCTGTTACTGACGCGGCTGTTACTGACGTGGCTGTTACTGACGTGGCTGTTTCTGACGCGGCTGTTACTGACGTGGCTGTTACTGACGTGGCTGTTACTGACGTGGCTGTTACTGACGTGGCTGTTACTGACGTAGCTGTTTCTGACGAACACCACAGTGACAGTACCCTGGGTGGTGGGAACACCACAGTGACAGTACCCTGGGTGGTGGGAACACCACAGTGACAGTACCCTGGGTGGTGGCAACACCACAGTGACAGTACCCTGGGTGGTGGGAACACCACAGTGACAGTACCCTGGGTGGTGGCAACACCACAGTGACAGTACCCTGGGTGGTGGGAACACCACAGTGACAGTACCCTGGGTGGTGGGAACACCACAGTGACAGTACCCTGGGTGGTGGCAACACCACAGTGACAGTACCCTGGGTGGTGGCAACACCACAGTGACAGTACCCTGGGTGGTGGCAACACCACAGTGACAGTACCCTGGGTGGTGGGAACACCACAGTGACAGATGGTGGGTGCTGGAAATTGTCAACACTGAATTACTAACACCTAGTACTTTAAGAAGTAATTCCTGTACTAAGCCTTATAATTTGGTAACACTACTAACCAGTAGTTTAGTAATATTGAGTTCATTTAATTAAGGCGGAGAAACGTGTCATTTTCCTCTACCAATTATGGCGGGAGTGTTGTCAGCCACGGCTTGACGGAGAGTATCTACATATACGTGAACCAAATTCACTTTACTTCAGCATTCTTTAATAAGAATAATTTTCTGATAATAGATTTATTGTTGATTAACGAATACATTACCATTTACTGGAAATATTTTATACAATAGGAACAGCTGTTTTAGTGAATATATAAAGAACTGATTTTCTACTCTCAATATTCTTGCCCCTTTAAATGCCATTTCATTTAAATTATTTGCGTAGTGAGGACCTATTTGTTGTCATGTAAGAGAAATTAATATCGTATTATTTAAGATAAACCTTATCTCCATCATCTCGGAAAGTTGGACAAATTATAGCGATTATTTACAGCCATATACTTACTAATCTCTCTCTCATCTCATTTTTTTCTTGTAATGTATCTGTTATTCTTGTATTAATTCTGCTAGAATTTACCTACTTAAAATTATGTTAGATTAAGGACCTGCCCGAAACGCTGCGCGTACTAGTGGCTTTACAAGATTGTAAACACTATGCTATGTATTCTCAAACACAATGTACCTTCTTGTATATATATAAATAAATAAATAAATTGCGAGGTAGTGCGCATGCGCGAGCCAGCCCAGAGAGCCTTGCAGAGACAGACGCCATATTACTGGACACGTCCTGTCTGTTCATTGTCTCGTATTTACATCATCCGTGCCTCCACGGACACCAGGAAGACGTGACGGCTTCATCTTATTACGGACACCACGTCCGGCAAGGCAGTATTTTCCCTGTATATATATTTGTGGCCTCAATTTACATATTAGATAGGGCGCCCTGTCGTTAGGACGAGCGACCATCAAAATAACCTTGTGACTGTCATTATTATATCACATCCGCACTAAACTGATGAATATGTGTGGAATCATATATGTCTAGATAGAAATTACATGTGATTCGCTTTTCAGCTTGAGTTTGACGGCCAAGAAGGACGGTATTCAGCCGACTCGCTCACGTGTCGCCAGTAGAGTAGCCGGCTGGCAGGTAGCAGCCGGTAGAGCAGCCGGCTGGCAGGTAGCAGCCGGTAGAGCAGCCGGCTGCAACAAGTTTACAGTGATGGTGTACTGGACACATGCTGCTATCACCTCAAACAGCTAAGCTGTTTGTCTTTCATTAGTAGTTAGAATATTCTATTAATCTAATGATTCATTATTGCATGATTCAATATTTTATTTACACGTATGTACATATTATATAAATTAACTCCCTCTAAAGTTTGTATAGGGAGACGGCTCTATAATTCACATTAATCTACAGTTCATTTATTATGTTTTGTTAGATTTCATTTACATTTGATACAGGAGATCCATAGGCGGGCAGGTGGTGGGTGACACCACCTGTCACCCACCACCTGTCACCCACCACCTGTCACTCACCACCTGTCACCCACCACCTGTCACCCACCACCTGTCACCCATCACCTGTCACTCACCACTTGTCACTCACCACCTGTCACCCACCACCTGTCACTCACCACCTGTCACCCACCACCTGTCACCCACCACCTGTCACCCATCACCTGTCACTCACCACTTGTCACTCACCACCTGTCACCCACCACCTGTCACTCACCACCTGTCACCCACCACCTGTCACCCACCACCTTTCACCCACCACCTGTCACCCACCACCTGTCACCCACCACCTGTCACCCACCACCTGTCACCCACCACCTGTCACTCACCACCTGTCACCCACCACCTGTCACCCACCACCTGTCACCCACCACCTGTCACCCACCACCTGTCACCCACCACCTGTCACCCACCACCTGTCACCCACAACCTGTCACCCACCACCTGTCACCCACCACCTGTCACCCACCACCTGTCACCCACCACCTGTCACCCACCACCTGTCACCCACCACCTGTCACCCACCACCTGTCACCCACCACCTGTCACCCACCACCTGTCACCCACCACCTGTCACCCACAACCTGTCACTCACCACCTGTCACTCACCACCTGCACCTGTCACTCACCATCTGCCCCCACAACCTGTCACTCACAACCTGCATTCACCACCTGTCACTCACCACCTGCACCCACCACCTGTCACTCACCACCTGTCACCCACCACCTGTCACTCACCACCTGTCACCCACCACCTGTCACTCACCACCTGTCACTCACCACCTGCACCCACCACCTGTCACTCACCACCTGCACCCACCACCTGTCACCCACCACCTGTCACCCACCACCTGTCACTCACCAGCTGCACCCACCACCTGTCACTCACCACCTGTCACCCACCACCTGTCACCCACCACCTGTCACCCACCACCTGTCACTCACCACCTGTCACCCACCACCTGTCACTCACCACCTGTCACCCACCACCTGTCACTCACCACCTGTCACTCACCACCTGCACCCACCACCTGTCACTCACCACCTGTCACCCACCACCTGTCACTCACCACCTGTCACTCACCACCTGCACCCACCACCTGTCACTCACCACCTGTCACCCACCACCTGTCACCCACCACCTGTCACCCACCACCTGTCACTCACCACCTGTCACTCACCACCTGCACCCACCACCTGCCACTCACCCCCTGAGTGACAGGTGCAGGTGGTGAGTGACAGGTGGTGAATGCAGGTTGTGAGTGACAGGTTGTGGGGGCAGATGGTGAGTGACAGGTGCAGGTGGTGAGTGACAGGTTGTGGGGGCAGGTTGTGAGTGACAGGTTGTGAGTGACAGGTGGTGGCAGGACAGGTCACTCCTGTCCCGAAGTATTGACGTACCGTCAGCAGGGGTCCAGAGAGTTACGGGATAAATCACATCATATACCACCATGGTGGGGCTCGAACCCCCGTCCCTAAGAGAAGCGTCACCTCCGTAGCGCCGCCCATTACAGAAACACTCACCTCTGAGAACATCCCTCACTATTATGTCCCATTATCACAATTTAGCCACAAGTTGTTAGTTTTTGTCACCATAAAGTTCCACAGTTAATGATGACTTACACGTCAACCTCTATTAGAACGTAATAGTGGTGAGATTATATAATTATATATATATATATAATATTTAAACCTAAAAGGGGTACCACCGCATGTGTACCATAGCCTCGGAGAAGAAAATAGAGAGTACTCAGAGAAGACCTTGTTGATCCTCACTGAACACTTTGATATTTTCTTCTCCTACCACCCCTATTCTTTTGGTATGTGTATATATATCTAACTCACTTATTTAAAAGTTTCATTACACAAAAAGGGTTACAACATTAGTTACATTGGTTACATGCAAGGTACAAGGGTACTTGTCACTGGTTGTAGAGCTCCTCCAGCTCCTCAGATGGCGGGCAGGAACCATGGATGCAGTGAGCATTTCCTCTCTGGATCGCTACACTAAGGCGCTGAATGAAGAAACTGGCAGCTCTAGGGTCTCTTGTTGTTTCAATTAGCTTGGACCTCAACAACTTCAAAAAACTAGCAGCACTTTTACCCCAGGCACCAAGTGTCTCTGAGGCAATGGGGACAAAATTGTAGTGGTGCTCAAGATATCCGTATTTACGTGACTTGGCTGCTTCCCGGTGATTGGCAGCTCCTCCTGCTTGTGCAGCACTGAAGTCAACGTAAGTGTTGACTAAAGTTGAAACGCAAGTGTAGTCCCACACCAACTGTCTACCGTCCTGGACCATTCTCAAGTCAAGACCATTCTCACAATCGACTTGAGAATGGTCCAGGACGGACCGAAACGTCGTCGTCCCTTCACCTTCTAGTGTGTGGTTTGGAGAGCTTTGAGACAATCCCAAATATTTAGGTACTTTATCGCGTCTATGTATGTCGTATATGTTCTTTGTACTCCCTCTATTGCAGCAAAGGGGAAAGTGAGTACTGAGCAGTACTCAAGACGGGACAACACAAGTGATTTGAAGAGTACAACCATCGTGATGGGATCCCTGGATTTGAAAATTCTCGTAATCCATCCGATAATTTTTCTGGCTGACGCGATATTTGCTTGGTTATGCTCCCTAAACGTTAGATCGTCAGACATCATTATTCCCAAATCCTTTACAAGGTGTTTTCCTACTATGGGCAGATTCGATTGTGTTTTGTACCCTGTATTATGTTTCAGATCCTCATTTTTACCGTACCTGAGTACCTGGAACTGTTAAACATCATGTTATCTTCTGCTGCCCGGTCGAAAACTTTATTAACATCTGCTTGTTGTTTTCAATTTATTCAGCAGAGGTAATTTTCATGATGATTTTTGTTTCATCTGCAAAGGATGATACGAAGCTGTGACTTGTATTTGAGTCTATATCTGATATGAGAATAAGGAAAAGCAGTGGTACAAGGACTGTACCTTGAGGTACTGAGCTTTTAACTACGTTTGGACTCGATTTTATATTATTGATTGTTACTCCTTGTGTTCTGTTCGACGGAAAGTTCAATATCCAGCGTCCGACTTCAGTTATTCCTATTGACGTCATGTTGTGTGCTGTCACGCCATGGTCACATTTTCGAATGCCTTTGCGAAGTCCGTGTATAACACATCTGCATTCTGTTTGTCTTCTGATGCCTCAGTGACTTTGTCATAGTGGTCAAGTAGCTGTGAGAGGCATGATCTTCCTGCTCTAAATCCATGTTGGCCTGGGTTGAGGTGGTCATTGGTCTCCATGAAACTAGGGGGGACAACAATTATCCCCTGCCAGTTGCTAGAGAATGATCCGTAGCAGACTAGTAGAACTAGAAAAGGCCCAAACAAATGTAACAAGACTCGTTCCTGAATTAAAGTGCTTAAGCTGCAAGGAAAGACTAAGGGAACTGGACCTTACCACACAGGAGGAAAGAAGAGAAAGGGGGATATGATAACAATATATAAGATTCTAAGGGAAATTGATAAGGGAAACAAAGCAGCATTGTTCAAGGCTAGGAACAACAGAACGATGGGTCTATAGGCATTAATCTATGGGCGTTCGGAAGGCGGGGCTACGAGCCTAGCTCAACCCTGCAAGCACATCTAGGTGAGTACACAATCCCAGGAAGCAGCCCGAAGCAGCTGTGTAACTCCCAGGTACTTATTTACTGCTAAGTGAACAGGTGCATCAGGATGGAAGGAAACTCTGACCATTTGTTTCTGCCTCGATACGGAATCGAACCCTGGTCAGTGGGCTGAGTCATTCCGAGCGGATAGCGTTCGTGAGTCAGTCAGTGTGTGTGTGTACTCACTTATTTGTGCCCGCAGGATCGAATTCTAGCTCTTGAACCCCACTTTTCTAGCCAGTGGTTGTCTAGTGCCATGACTCCTGGCCTATCTATCATACCAGCTTTTAAAGTTAGTAATGGAGTTAGCCTCTACAACCTGCTCCTTTAGGTCATTCCATTTACTCACTACCCTTATGATAGAAGAATATTTCCTAACATCTCTAACACATCTGAGTCTCAAGCTCCCATCCGTGCCCCATTGCTCTGTTGTTGTTTATTGTAAACATAAAATCTTAATGGCTTGGCCCTTTCTCCTGATAGTTTCCTCCCCCTCCTCTGTTTCCACCTTGTACCTTCCCTCTAAGTATTTTATACGTCTGTGTCATGTCCCTCCTCTCCCTCCGCCTTTCTACCGTCGTCAGGTTTAGTTCCTTCAGTCTGCCTTCGTACCTCATCCCTCGCAGCTCTGTGACGAGTCTCGTCGAGAACTTCTGTACCTTTCGAGCTTCCTTATCCGTTTTTTTTAAGATGGAGCTCTACGATGGTGCGACATACTCTAAGACTAGCCTCACACAGGCGGTATACAGTGATCTAAAAGCTTCCTTATTCAAGTTTCTGAAGGATGTTCTGACCTTTGCCAGAGTAGAGTATGCGGCTGACGTTATTCTATTTATATGAGCCTGGAGTTAGGTTTGGTGTTATGTCCACTCCCAGGTCTTCTCTAGTCGTTATAGGGAGGTAGTTTCCCTTCATCGTATCTTGACTTTTCGGTCTCGTGGCTCTTGTCCACATTTCCATCATCT